TTTCGTCTCACTGGTTGCCAATAAAATCCAACTGGGCTATCAACGCTACCGTACTACTGAAGTGTATCATATCTTCAGTTAAAGTAATTCTTTGTTTTTTAAAATGATTACAGTATTCTTTAAGAAGTAGATTACGTCCACTTGATCTTAGAAAAAGACAAGACATGGTTGTAGCGGGGAAAAAAGTTTTATTTTCGACGAAGTCACTTACTTAGGTGTACATTCGTGAATATATGTTACAGTGAGCAGAACGTTCCGGAATCATTTCCGCTCAGGGGGTAAAATATATTGAATAACTTAGGGAAGTTAACTGATACATATTTGGGGTTAGTGTGGAAAAATAGACAAGGGATTACGAAATTAAATGTAATTATGCAATACAGGATGACTGTATGGGGAAGTAGGAAAATGAACGTAGGTTGATGAGACTAAAATTGTAACTATGTAATACCTGATAAACCTATGGCAGAGTAGGAAAATAAACAGAAGATTATGGAAGTACATGTATAGTTACCTAATAAAGAATGAATCTATGACAGTCAAGGCCTTATGATGGCCATCGCAAAGATAAAAGTTGGATGTACCTTTTTTGGACGCCTAACGCTGCTTTGAACTTCTGGATGGTTAGTGCTTCAGCTGTAGACAAATGCCTTGATCTTACTTTCTTTGACCAGTCTGATTGAACCCTGTGCAGAATTCTGAATAAGCCCTCGAAAGGAGCTAAGTGGTCTGAGTTCACGAAGTGTTCTGTTACTGAACTGAAGATATATTTCCGTTTTCCTTTGCCAGTCAGGCTGGACAGTGTTCGCGGGCACGTTTCTTTCTATTGATTTCCATACTCCCCAGTCCTCATTACTAGGCCCTGATTTCAAGTGGGTACACATTTTGCATCATATATTCATGTGAAAATGATGACAAAAATTACTGTTTGTCTGGCTATGACATCAAGAAATGACAACTAGTTTCGGGTTGCATGGCACGTCGAAATTGATATTTTTATAAAGCTTTCATGCAGTACATAGAGAAGTATATCCCATGAAACTAAAATTCCTATGCATAGCAGAAAAATCTGGGCTTCATTAGCCCTTCAGTGATTGGTGTACTGGCTTTTAGTGTGAAAACGACATTCTTTAAGGAATAGCTCAGACTTCCTTCGACCAATTATTACTTGAGGCACCTCTGGTGTAACAAACTACAATTCTAAAGGTTGATGTTAATATACTGTTAATTCCTCCTGTAAATAGTGGTGAATATAGGGTCACAACGACCTGAACGTGCGTAAACTTAAGCGATAGTTGAGAAAAGTATATTATTTCTGCCTACTGCAGTACGTTGACTTTTATTATGCATATAAATAGTACCACGAATGCTGAAGAGAGAAGCGAAGTGTATTGCCCATATTCATGAGCATGCAGTTATTCAACAGTTGCATCAGAAAAGTTCAAACTGTAAAGATATAGTATCAACCAACAGAAGTTGCTCAGGACCTGAATAGCCTTCAAGTGGAAATTTAAAAGAAACTCGTTACACTACTCGTAATTTAAAAGTAGAAAGCGATTGAATGCTGAAAGAGTTGGCCAATGTTGATCTAAAGCTTTAGATATTTCCCAGCTATGTAACGTGTGACCACATCTGCTCCACACATGACGTGTTTGCTGCGTGCTTATTAATCTGGCCTCATATCAACTCCATAACAAATGCATTCGTCTGGTGATTATGCCGACTGGGCTTTCAACAGAATTCGCATATGTTCAAGTAATAAAGTCTATAAATTTGGCATTATAGTTATAGAAATGAGGATGTGTATCTAAAATGGTAACATTGTGTATTTAGACTTCACTCACTGCCTTTGATACATTTGGTGAACTCTTAAGGATTCTGAATGATTGTCCAGGATTATCTGATCAATCGTTTTCTTGAGGATGCTGTTCCCTACCTTTGCCAATGATTTCCTATCAGTATGATATTGAGTCATATCTCTAAATATCTTCACCCACTGATTAGCGCATTGAAAGTGTCTTAGCTCCTGTTGTTGAAGCAATGGAAACTTAAATAAGACCTTACCTATTGGAAATATGCATGCTGGTCAATATTTGACCGGATAGTTTCAAAAATATTTGTGTAAACCTCAGCTTGTATGACTATTCCCCTGAAGAATTACAAACCAGACTTCCATGTGAAATGTTGAAATTATTCATTTCAAACGCGTTGAGATTTAAAAAAATGTAACTTGCAGGCAATTAAAGTCAAAATGAATATATGAGTAAGTTTCAGTGTCATCCCAGGGTGTTTAGAAAATCAAAACAAGATTTTCCTATGAAGAAGCGATTTCCACGAAGTCACGGAAACTAAGAAACTTATTTTTCTACCTCACAGGGACTTTGCAAATATGTTTCATTTATAAGATTTTTCTGTTTTTGCTTAACATGCTTGGATTATATGAAAGCTTATTTGAATAATGATTAGACCTGACTCCGTATGAAACTCCTTTCAGGACATTCGTAACGACTATGGGGTGGATGTTTATGGTTAAAATGAATGTCTGAAAGGCTGCGTCGATGCTAACAAAAACACAGATATTTATGTATTAACCTTAAGTTAGAACTATTTTGGATAAAGAGTCTACCGCATTTGCACAGATTTCACACAGATTCAAACTCGCAATTCTCTGTATTTTTAACTTCAAGCAAGACGTTGACCAAGTTTTAAACTAGCTACAAAGCTTCCTAAGTTCGTGTTAGATTTATTCAGAGTAATGAATTTAATTTCTTCTTAGAAGAACAACGAATGTCTTAAATTATGAGACTATGAACTTCAACCAGAATAACGATATTTAGTAACTTATTTGAAATCTTTTATATAACCCGACTTTACTCTTTGAGATACAGAAATGAGTGCAGTTAGGTTTCTTCTAAGCAAGTGAATTATACTTTTCGTTTTTAGTAGATTATTTTATCGGATCAACTTAATCTCCCTAAGTGTATGGTGGAAGTGATGGGTTGTCACATTTTATTCTCACTCGAGATACAGACTAATTCGGAAGGTGACTTTTGAATAACGTGAAACCTGGCTTCTGGCTTTAACTGATACGCAATAAAAAGTCTTCACATTTATGAATTTTTAACCATGAACTGTATCACAGCCTTTTATTTTGGTCAACATATTGTTACTGCTTCGGTGTGCATATATGGGGGGGGGGCTGGAATCACTTAGTAAAGCTTTTTGCCCGTAATGGAGAAATATCAACGCGTATCTACGTATTTGCATTTCATTTTGAAATCCAATGGAGAATACCGAAAGTTTCTGTCGTAGTAACCAATCTATATACTTTCAAGTAAAAATTCCTTACCTTTCTTTCTATTTAGACATATGCTTCTATCAAAAGCAATAAAATGAGAACTAATATGAAAGATACTGGAGTATTTTTTTGCACAAAACTATTCAAGATGATTTACTTGAGCAAAGTAATAAATCAAAATAAATAAATATAAGGCTTACGAAAGTGTTTGCCTATTGCAAGTAAACAAATATTCCTAAAAATGCTGAAGGCAACAAATGTTTTTGATGGAAATAAAGGAGAGCTGGAAAGTTGTATAAATTTAGTGAGGGACTGGTAATCAATGTTTACCCTAGAGTTCACGCAAGAAACTGTCTTTAAATCGACCAAATCAGTTAACCCTCACTACACTCTTTTGAGGTGTAGTTAAAAGTTGTTTAAGCGAATTAGAATCTTCCCATGCCCACTGTTGAATAAACGTGCATTTTAAAAATAGCGGATTTACACTAAAAGTAGGATGCACAGGAAATGAAAATACCTGAGTGGATTTGAATGATAACCAAAAGATCACCAGTAACGTCAATTTAGTAAGTCCATGAAGGTGGGTTGAAAAAAAGATGCTCTAAAAAATACTGAAAAACCTAAAGTTAATCTGATCTGAGGTCATTACAAATCATACAGTTAATGAAGTATGTAGTACTCTGAACAATTATTTTCGTCTGTTTTGCAAAACTTCAACAGTAGAGCATAATTCTCAAAGTAAAACTTAAATCATTAAGATTTTGCAGTAAGGAAACTTCTGTACATGCTCAATAGCCTAAATCATTTTCATTAATTCATAAATTACTTGATTAATTCGCTCCAGGTTTGAAAATGCTTTCATGGCTTGATAATAAAAGACTAAGAAAAAAAATAGAACCAGTATTCAATACTCTCTGATTTTGTATCATTTTCAACTTGTGGTGAAATCCCTTTGGAGTTGTTGCAATAGTAGTTTTGTTAATTTTTTCAACGAAAGGCCTACTTCGGTTTACTTCACTGTCATCTAACATATCCAAGCATTTCAAAAGTACCAGGATAACAGACAAGAAATAATTTTATGCTGGGACGAGAACGATATTGAAAGGAACTCCTCAGCTTAAATTTTACACTTGTTATTTTGAGCTTTCAGCATCGAAATTTGTATATGACATAAAGAACCTTATACTGAGAAAATTGAGGTCATACTGTTCCATTGACTTGAATTATATATCTGGATGTAGTTAAAGTGCTTTTCCGATGTAATCTAATGTCTGCTTCGCATACAAGTTAACAAACTGAAGTACTCATCTACATTGTTTGTACATATCATATTCAACCAGTTTCGTGTAAGCACTTACATATACATACATATACACAGGACGTAAATTATTACATTTTACTCTGCTTTCTAACAGACGGCAGAAAATACTTTTTATTGATGTAAATCTAAAAGTGAGTTATGTGATCGCATGGATTTAGACTTCGTGCCTGTTTGCATCAATCAGCTAGATATGTGCTTATTCGTGAGGGGAATATCATATAAGAGATACAGATTGGTTTCACTCAGTTCTTGAGCTGAAGATGCTACTTATTAGGTTGCTAACCGCATCGCTATCAGGATCGTTAAGTACTTAGGTCTGGGAAACTATGATATTGATCAGTATTTCGTGGATGACCAACGTATGCTTTATTTACATTCATCATGGTGAGTAGTAGAATTCAAAACTTGATTTCCATCCTCTTTTAGATTTGTCGACTAGTTGTAACTACATTCGAAAGTAAATTCCAAAGTTTAGTTTATTTTGATTTTGTGATGTGACCTGGTCTCTTTTTCTTGCTATTTAATGTACAATGACATTTTAAGCTTTCATATCCTGAGGTAGTAGCTTTTTTAAAGTATTACAATGTTAGAAATTTATCTTTTTATTTCTTTGCAATTTTACAGATATATTTCGATTATATTGTCTCTGCTATGTTCACTTATAGGCTGTACAAATTCAGAATCACAAACTGAAAACTGCTATTCCTGTTAATAACCAACTGTTGGCTGCAAATTATAAATTCGACAAAATTTTTCTCAATATTTCACAGGAGGAAATTTATAATGTAACAGCAAGCACTTTAATCAAAGATGCTTTAATAGGAATAAATGGTACGTGCTTTATTCCTTTGAGAATGACAAGTTTACATGATGGTAATGATGTTGATTTTCCAAAGATCATTGGTACCCGAACACAAGTATCTTTAAAGCACCACTGTCATGCAGTAGAACTGCTGAGTAAGCAACATTGTGCTTGAGTACAAATTTCTGGAAAAGAGAAGGAAATTAGAAGACGACTTAGTCAACCCGAAATGATTAGGTTTGCATAAGTGTGGGTCATACTTCTTGAAAATAGTTTAGGAAATTTTCGATGTCAGTGTTTAAGAATGGCTATTAATGTCAATTAAAGTTGCTCATAAAAGTGTTAGGTCGTTTACTCCGCATTTGTATCAAATTTTGATCATCTTTGTTCACTTGATCTCTCTTTTCCCAGTCAACTTATGTTCTTGGTTTTCCACACTATTTTCATTTCTTCTTCAGTTGACAACCCTTTTATCTAAGCTATTGAGATGTACTAAAACATGTAGGAGTGTGATTCAGTTCAACAGTTTAAATCCTGTAAATGACTACGTTATCGTCATAGTTCTACTGCTGTTCACATAAAAGTAAACTATGTTCTGTGATCAACATTGTAATGCCTAGGAAGTGGATTTATAATTCAATCTTTGCAATTTCTCGTCATCTCGCAGTGAAATCAGACTAATCGATCACTGCTGGCATATAGAAATTCTTGAACGGCTACTTCTGCAGTTCCATAAATTTTGCTCTGATGATATTAATTTGCTGGTGACTGGGAGTAAAACCCACAAAACGTGTCGCATCTTAAAAGAATTAGTCAGTTAGATATAGTTGTCCAAGTGTTTTGGACAGGAGTTGAACCCACTAGTTTTAGGTTAGAATTGAATGAGTTATGTATTAGCACAATAAGTAACAAATCACTTTTTTCAACGGGTGTTGACTGTTGTTCGGGCTGCTGTTGCATACTGAGACAACACTATTCGGTAGGATCATTGAACAAGTCAACTTGTTTCTTACTCTAGTTACTTACGACTGAGGCTAAGATGGAAGACAGACAAACAGAAGTGAATTTATTAGCTGTTAAGTTATTCAACAATGGAAGGAAATGAAAACATACGCAACTACATTTGCGTTTGTCCAATAGGCAATGAGCCACATCTATTGTGTTAGGATCAGTGCTCGGACTTAGGTAGGCGGGGTTGGGTTATAATCCACCACTCACTGGTTGGATGTCCAGTGTCTGGACCGATATGCCACGACAATCAACAAGAGATTAAAAACACAGCACATTTATGACATTCACATTCCAAGACTGCAAGACAGTCAGTAGGGTAGTCTGGGTAATGTGTTTTTCATATACTTATTTGGTGCATTTATAGTGAATATTAATAGATCTAATATAAGCAAAATGAATAAAGTGGTACTATAATTATGTAACAGTGATAATACAGTAGTTTTTCTGAGAAATAAAGGTATTTCCTGACATCTTCTCTTCCACAAAATATTGTAGTATAAGTAATTTGATTTTCTGAGCATTATTTATCCTGTAAAGCTGCATTGGGTGAGTCCGATTGCTTCGAATTAATTTTCCGTAAGCTGTAGAACAAGTGATTTTGATTCATCCGTTAGCATTCTGAATGCTTATTTCCTTGGGAATAACCGTATAACCAACAACTTTACAATGTCACATGGAATTGAGTGATCGTTATGACTCACCATGCTGGAATGTCAAACCTTAGGTGCTGATGCATTCGGGTGAAAAGTTTCAGATAAGGTGAAACACGTATGGTCGACTCAACTATAAGCTATTACTAAATTAATTTCACTTATGTTTATTATTTTTCTTCGTTACATTAAAAATAAAATGGTGTACTGAAACAAAGATGTACGCTACTCATAAGTATTTATTTATGGTCCCACAAAGTTGCAAGAGAATAACATTTGTCAATAAATGGTATAGATATCTCCGTTGAGGGTGATCAACTTATCAAATATTTAAGATGTAACACAATTAACCAACTAGATTAATTTTTAACCCGAAACAGTTGAAAACTTTCTGGATATACAGTACTACTAAAATGATATCGTGAAAATTTTTTTAATAATAATGATCTTGTGAAAGTTTTCTCAAGTAAGTATTATCTGTAAGCACTCGATATTCCCTAAGATTGTGTTTTATAACACAGTGTACAAAGCTTAATGTTAAATGTATCAGTTCATTACTTTTCCCTTAAAAAGATCGGGCATTTTCGACTTTTAAGTGTTTTAGTCATACTAAAGAGATTGACAGTGAAATTTGACTAAAACTTAGTTTAAGTAACTCCTTTTATTAAAGTGCTTCCTGAAGTTTTACTGATGATGATTTACAATAAGAAAACCTTTAACAACCGAAATTCCAGCTTATAAAAGAACCTAGTCTAGACATTTTTGTGGATGCTGTCTAAACAGAAGATACGATAACTCATCTACTCAACGGAATTGTAAATCAAAGAGAATTATTTCATCAAATCAGGATTTGAGTGCATCACCATTTGTACACACTTCTATCATCCCTAAGTAAAAGGTAGTTGGATGAAAGACTCCTGAGAAAAGACAAGTTAGAACCAGCATCTATTACAATAGAAAGTTAAAATATTTTTTTCCATTTTTTAAAATATCATTTATATGTGCTAATACAATAACATCTGTGAAGTAGTTGGTAGGTGTATCATACACAATACAGTTTAACTAAACCAACTAATCAAATAGTAAAGCAAACAACATGTAAAAATATATAGGTAAATATACTTTAAATTTCACTGGAGTTTACAAAGGAGACGAAACAAACGAATATCCACAGCTGTTGTAGTGGATTTTGTGAATTTCTACTCATCAATGATATATAAGGTCATTCAAGTTGACATTCAGATAAAATAATTATGGATAATGCCTAATAGTGTTTGTACTATAACTTAAATTGCAGATATTAAAAAATTGTTGAACCACCACAGCAGCATGCCCATGCTAGAATTTGCTGTCCTGCACAGAATCTAGTATAATGTTTTAAATCCACATTGCTGAAAACTCTCACATCAGGACAAAACTACTGTCGATTTCCCGCTGTTTTTCAATGTTTCACTAGCTCTTTCCAAGATGGAAACTGGAACCAAACACCCTCCTAGTAATATAATCACCTAGCTTACTGAAAAATAATTTGATGTGTGTCTAGTGATAGCCGGTGAGGTTACGAGAACAGCGTTTTAAGGGATACATGATGATTTCAACAGAAGTTTCGGCTAAAGTAAAATGTAATGTCTGTTTGGTTTATCATTTACTTACCTTTTTCTTTTGAGAGAATGGTTAGTTTTAGCAAAGTTCACTGCTGACTATGTTCTTTTGAATGTTAAGTCTTCAGGATTATTTCTATTTGCAAGAGATTTCAGTTAACAACCTGCTAAGAGTATGAAACTCTAGACTTATTATCAATCTAATAATGTTTTACCATCTGTTGCTAATATTTTGCACCACCGATTAAGTTGTTTGGTAGTTGAAATAAATTTCCAGAACATAAATTACAGTTTATTGGGTAATAATTCAGAGGCCTGCAGAAATAAACTCAAATTTTGGCAAGAATGATGAATCAAACAGTATACTGCTACTCCTGCTAGAATATGTTGCACATACTTCAGCCAAGGCAATTTTTGGAATTGATTTCACTCAATCTTGTTTCGGAAGTTAATTTATTGAACGTAATCTCTGCCTCTTTTATGTGAACAGCTGTTTTAGTTCTCTTGAGGTGGTGTTCAACGAAGCTGCAACCAAGATATATCTAATTCTGTTTCGTTTATCACTGTCCACTAAACGACTAGTTATCTAGTGTAACAATTTATCCTTTTTTCAATATGCTATGAAATGTGACTAAAAAAATTAAGATTATGAAAAATATTAAGTAACACAGTTACTTTATGAAATTATCTATCTTCATCGGCGGGTATACTTTAACTTCTATTTTATTGGCACACGATTAAGTTTTTTGTTGAGGCTGTTGAAGTCAGATAGGATACAAACCTCCCTAATATTTGGATTACACTTGACACCATTTTAAGTACTATAATCTTTTAGGATAAAGATCATGAAGAAGTAAAAGTCTTTGCTAATATGAGTAAAAATGCTTTTGAATCGGCTACATGCATAGGTACATTCATCATCTACATAGTCTTCAGATATTCGCTGTTTAGTTATTTTTCTATAGATCTATGGCTCATTTAAGTCATGTTTCTGTTGTTTTCTGGAAGACTTAAACATAAGTCTCACCGTGTCTGGTGTCCACTCGGTACTTGTTCATTGTATGAGGTTACTTAAAAACTAATCTGCAGCTACTCACAGTAACAACTCATAGTGACATTTTAGAAAACTTCGATGGCTTAGTTTGCTTATGAGGCTGCATCAACACTAATCGGTTGGTTTTTGACAAAATCTTAGCTTGGATTGGAAAGGTTGGTTTAACATTTGCCAACTTACATCTACGAGACATCTACCTACCACTACAGGTCTCTTCACAGAATCGCTCATGAATAGTGAAATCCAATTGTGAGCAATATTGATGTTAGGTGAAGGGCACTAAGCAAGGAAGGCAAGTCAGTTAATGAGGTTATAAACATTCACCTACGAAGGTGGCTTGGACACCTGTTTCACATGATGAGCCACTAACTACTTCTGATACAGTGCTGTCAGTAGTAGGATTAGGTTGGGAGAAAGCTCAGAGTGACCGAATCAAGACGTGTCACCAGTCAATAAAAAGGTGAACGGTTGATGTTAGTCATGCAGTGAGGCAGAAACTGTCTAGTAGAGGCGCTCGATATAATGACAATCGATGTTAGGAGTCTCTTACTGACATCATCCAGAGCGGCACAGGTGTAGTCACTCTTTGACATATTCGAAGTCTGGAATACTTTCAGTAGCTTTCATTTATTTCTGCTCTTCTTTCCCATAGACTTTTTCTACTTTAGTGTTAATCTTTTTCTGCCCACTTCCTCTTTGTATGCTGATGTGGAGTGTGACAACGTGAATCGATGCATTTCTGTGCGAAGTTCTATGCTGATTTGGCTATCTATTGCTTCTTTTCTCATTCACATTGTGACAAGTTATCCAAATACGCGATACTTTTTTTACATCACAAACTGTTTCAATCATTTGTATATCATGAAGAATTGTGCAGCATAAAGTAATTTGTACTTTTACAACTTCATCTTAGGCACTATAATGTGCTACGGACAAACTGGAGCTGGGAAAACATATACAATGAGTGGTCTATCGCAGCTATATGTTGATAGAGGAATTATACCGCGAGGTATTGCTCATTTGTTTGAAGAAATTCAGAAGAATTCAGCACTTTCAATTAGCGTAAAGTAAACGGTTTTGTCATTATTATTGTGGAGTTTGTTAACTTATTCGTTTTATTGTTTTTTAACTGCTTAACATCTTATTAGGGTTGGAGTGATTATTAGTAGATTGTCATTTTATTGGGATTGTCTAAAGAACTTCGCTTCCTCGAAAAACTTCATAAAGTGACAATACTCTGAAGACTAGTGCATATTATTCGTTATGCTTGTCATTTGAGTGTTTTAACCACTCAATTTTAACTTCTATTTATTTTATTATTAATTGAACCTTGGGTTCCTAATGGAACATAAAGCTTCAGTAGCATGTCCCCAATGCGCTCTGTTCTCTGAAATCTTTTGAACCTGGTTCCACGATAGCCCACAAGCTCTCATTTCCTCCTCACACGATCTCCTCCATGTCATCCTCGCCTCGGATGCCCAACTCGTCGCTTCCCATCGAGGTTCCACTCAAGTACCCGGCCTGATGTGTGATGTCCCCAGTCTGCCTTCTCGGTGTATGCCCAATCCATCTCCACTTCCTTCAAATGCATATTTGTTGAGCGATAGGTTCTTGGTTGGTTCGTTCCCAGAGTTCTTTGTTGCTTATTATTTCTGGCAATCCATCTGATCTTCAGTAACGAGCCAGTGTAGGCAGTTGTTGATGAATGTCTGTAGTTTGTTGGAAATTCCTTTCGTGACGCGCCAAGTCTCTGAACCATACAGGAGCACTGACTTGACGTTGGTGTTGAAAATCCGCATCTTGTTCCACATGTTGAGTGGAGTACAGATCTCCACACTGATTTCAGGTAAATGAATGCCTGTCTTGCTGTCTTTCCGATACCGACTTTAACATCCTCGTCTGTGCTGCCACCTGTATTTGAAACAGTGCTTCTTAGATAGGTGAAAGAGGCTACTTCCTTTAAGTTTCTCCCGTTGATGGTGATTAGAGCTTGTTGTTGTAGATGGCGTTGGTTGGGTGTCTTCATCACCTCAGTCTTCTCTACGTTCACTTGAAGTCCCGTCTTCGCTGCCTCGCCTCTTCTGCCAACTTGTTAGTTTTCGCCTGTAGATCTCCAAGTTTGTGTGATATTAGACATAAGTCATCGGCGAAATCTAAATCTCCTAGGTTCTTTTCTACGGTCCAGCGTATCCTATTCTTCTCACAGCTCCTCACTGTTTGTTGCATGATCCAGTCCACTACAATCAGGAATATCATGGGTGGTAGTAGACAGCTTTGTCTTGTTTCACTCCTGTCTTCACTTCAAAAGCATCACTGAGCTCCCCATTGTGAATTACTTGGCGTATGGCGACTTCATACAGTTGTTGAATGAGATTGATAAAGGTTTGTGGTATTCCGTAGTGTTGAAGCAACTGCCTGCCAAACGACTTCTCGGTTGACGATGTCAAAAGCCTTCTCAAAGTTGGTGAAGTTGAGGTGTAGAGTTGACTGTTATTCTATACTGTGTTCTGTGATGATGCGAAGCGTTGCAATTCGGTCCGCACATGATTTGTACTTCTCGAATCCAGCCAGCCTGTTGTGGTCGTAGTTTTGAATCCAGTGCATCCTTTAGTCTCTCCAGGATGATGCGGCCTAATATTTTGCTTGAAGTGGACAGGAGAGCCATTCCACGCCAGAATTTTAACTTCTAGAGCCATACTTTTTCACTTTTGATGTATGTCTAGCCTTCTGAAGGTTTTGTTTTTTGTTTGCTATCGTAAGTTCATGCACACTGCAAGGTTATATGCTTTGGATGAAATGGTCATTTCTGGATAGTCAACAATAGTTAAACTATCTCATATCACTTTGATAACGATTCATTTGCGTATACAAGTTTGAGAACCATATGACTGTTTATCAGGTTCCGATAAATAGCTGATGCTTTTCCAAATAGAAGTAAATCTCTGACGAGTATCGAATTTACCATTTAGTCACTAATGGTTCACACTATATGTTGAACGAATGGAGGACAATCAAGTATTTGCATTACATTATGCTTACTACCGAGTGAGAACTCTTAACCTCAGGAAGACATTTGAGTAAAACCAGATAAACTTACTGCGTGAAGTGAATGATCATCAACTTATTCTAATATCTAGTATAGCTAAATCGTGTACAATGTTTGCTCTTATAAATAGATCAAAGGACAAGTAATCTTCTGTATCTGTTAATTAACTAAGATGATTTAACTATTTTGTTAAGTGATTTAGTGTTCTATCTTAATTGAAAGTCACCTATGAAGAAAGTGGAAATGATTTCACACCAGCTTTGAACGAATAAATGAACAGGTTTGCCGCAGACATTTTCAGTATTTACCAACGTCTGAAAGACGGTTCCACCGACTCTACGCATTATACTGAGAAGACATACAAAGAGGTACACAAATCGAAGCAGAAGCTGGTGCAAAAGTACACGAGTTCAAGTTGTTACATCTTGCAACAGCATGTAATACGCCATAAAGAAAAGAGATACATTTGCAAAATAATGTTAATTCATTACTATTCTCAATGTCCTTCCTTGCCTTCACTACAAGAGCAGCACATGAAGCCATTGGTTATCTGTCTTAAAAATATGCCAAGCTGTAGACCTTCTGTTACGAAAATTATCACTGATCAATGCTTAATATTCGTTGATATGATATGTAGTCAAATGGTATGATACAAACAGCTTCTTTTTTAATCTTTTTCAGTCCTATGAAAATGTTTGAGATATATATTGCATGAAATCGGTAACAAAAGTAGAGATGTTTACATTCTTCGTCTACTCAGTCTTGAACATTTTTACCAACTCTCATCTGCTTTTCCCTAAGCAAATATAGTTTTGCCTACTTTTATGTCATTCATTCGCTCTGTGTGCAGGTGTGAAGGGTGGTAACTCGAAATAATTCACTTTGGTACCAGGTTCTACGTTGTTTTGTCTGTCTGTTCAGGCTGAAAGTAGTGATGCAATAACCGGTCAAAATAGAAGTATAATTTATAAAGATGATGATTATTGTCACTATCACACTAATAAAATGATCATCATAAACAACTACATTACAAAGAGTAATCCTGTTACTTCTTACATATTTTTAATGACTGATATCCAGTGATTTTACGTATGACTGTCTTCTAGTTAAACATGAATATTCATTTTTATTGCTTTAGGTTATCATATTTTGAAATATACAATGAACAAATTATTGACTTACTGAATGATATTTCTTCCAATAAAGCATTGGTGAAACAGTCTTTTGATTCCCTCCAAGTAGCAGAATCCAATGATCAAGTTTACATTAAAGGATTAAAGTGTTTAACAGTAAATAATTTGGAAGAGGCGTTAACTGTACTATTTGAGGTCAGATTTAATTACTGCATGCATATGACTATTATTATTATTATTATTATTATTATTATTATTATTATTATTATTATTATTATTATTATTATTATACAATGCCTACACCAATGTTTTGACCTATCAATTTACAAATTAATGATGAAAAGTTCACTTTTCAGTTGAAAAGACCTTAGTAACACCTTTTCTAATTTTTCATACCAATCAAATTCAGTGTAGGATTAAGATGATTAAGAAACATCACAACCTGGTACCATGGATACCTTGATGTAACCAACTGTTTTAATCTGGTTTAATTTGTTTGTGACAGCTAGTATAAAAATAAATGACACTTTTTTCATATTGTATGATACTGCCCAGAGAATCTCAAACTTTTGTGGCAAAGTATAAGCATTCATTAAAAAGACCGTGGACAACACAGAAGATGGTAATATTAACATTAAAGATACTGGTTCAGCTTAACTTTGTAATAGAATTTTTTAGCACTATATTATGGAGAAATTTACTCTGAAAAGGATTTCCAGTATTTTATTTGTTATACATTTGGGACTAATTCCTATCTAGTCATTCTGATAAATGTATCTTGTACAAACAGTCTGTTGCTAAGACGAAGTCATCTTGTTGTTCGTCTGAATACATTTATTGACAGAAAAAGCATAATCAACACTAACAGCTAAAGCTTTTTCGTTATTCAGATATCATTATATTCTAGACTACTTTTGGTCTGTCTTTGATTCCGACTCTTATTAGAAAGGAATGAGAATATTGCATAAAGTAGGCGTTTTCAAATAACATATTCATAAATATTGTACGATTCAGTTATTCAAGAAATCGTAAAATTGTGAATGACATGTGTTGATAGAGAACCGAATTTATTATTATTATTAGTCCCTTGGGTTCCTAGTGGAACATAGGGCTTCAGTAGCACGCCTCCAGTGACCTCTGTTCTCTGAGATCTTTTGAACCTGGCTCCACGACAGCCCAGAAGCTCTCATTTCCTGCTCGCACGACCTCCTCCATGTCACCCTCGGACGTCCAACTCGTCGCTTCCCATGGGGATTCCACTCGAGGGCCTGACGCGTGATGTCCTCAGTCGGCCTTCTCAGTGCATGGCCAATCCATCTCCACTTCTTCATGCATATTTGTTGCGTGATAGGTTCTTGGTTGGTTCGTTCCCAGAGTTCCTTGTTGCTTATTTTTTCTGGCCATCTGATCTTCAGCAGCGAGCGTAAGCAGTTGTTGATGAATGTCTGTAGTTTATTGGAAATACCTTTCGTGACGCGCCAAGTCTCTGAGCCATACAAGAGCACTGACTTGACGTTGGTGTTGAAAATCCGTATCTTGTTCCGCATGCTGAGTGCAGGAGATCTCCACACTGGTTTCAGGCTAATGAACGCCTGTCTTGCTTTTCCGATTCTGACTTTGACGTCCTCGTCCGTCCCGCCTGTAGTTGAAACAGTGCTTCCTAGATAAGTGAAGGAGGTTACTTCCTTTAAGTTTCTCCCGTTGACAGTGATTGGAGTTTGTTGTTGTTGTTGTTGATGGTGGTGGTGCGGTATCTTCATCACTTCTGTCTTCTCTATATTCACCTGAAGTCCCGTCTTAGCTGCCTCTTCTGCCAACTTGTTAGTTTTTGCCTGCAGATCTTCAAGTTTGTGTGACATTAGGCATAAGTCATCGGCGAAATCCAAGTCTTCTAGGTTCTTTTCCGTCGTCCAGTGTATCCCCCTCTTCTCGCTGCCTACTGTTTGCTGCATGATCCAGTCCACCACAATCAAGAATATCATGGGGGATAGTAGGCAACCTTGTTTCACTCCTGTCTTCACTTCAAAGGCATCACTGAGCTTCCCATTGTGGATTACTTGGCATGTAGCATCTTCATATAGTTGTTGAATGAGGTTGATAAAGGTTTGCGGTACTCCGTAGTATTGAAGCAGTTTCCAAATTACTTCTCGGTCGACGCTGTCAAAGGCCTTCTCAAAGTCGATGAAGTTGAGGTGGAGAGGTGATTGCCATTCTATGCTCTGTTCTATGATGATACGAAGCGTTGCAATTTGGTCTGCACATGATTTGTACTTCCTGAAGCCTGCTTGTTCCGGTCGTAGTTTTGAATCCAGTGCATCCCTTAGCCTCTCCAGGATGATGCGGCTTAATATTTTACTTGGGGTGGACAGGAGAGTGATTCCGCGCCAGTTCTTGCAAGCACTGAGGTCTCCCTTCTTCGGCAGTTTGACAAGGTAACCCTTCTTCCAATCGTCAGGTACCTTCTCTTCCTTCCACACCTTCTGCAATAGTGGTGTGAGCATGGCCGCTGTTGTCTCTGCATCTGTTTTCAGTGCTTCTGGCGGTATTCCATCTGGTCCTGCTGCTTTCCCGCATTTCAGTAGCTTTATGGCGTTCAGGACTTCCATTTTCGTTGGGGGATTAATGTTCACTTGTAGTTCAGCGGCTGCAGGTGGTATTTCTGGACGAAGTGCAGGTGGTGGTCGATTCAAGAGCTTCTTGAAGTGGTCGGCCCATCGTTTCCTCTGTTTCTCTTCTTTCGTAATTAAATTTCCTTCTTCATCTTTTATTGGTTTCATCTGTGTTGGTCTATTCCCTGATAGCAACCTGGTTATTTGATACAATGTCGTCAGGTCTCTCTTACCTGCAGCCTGTTCTGCTTCACTTGCCAGTGTTTCGTAGAAGTGTCTTTTGTCTTTGCGTGCACTCTTCTTCACTTCTTTATCCAGTGTTTTATACATTGTGCTCAGTTCATCTTGTCGTTGAGCATCCTTGCACTGGTTTATCTTCTGCTTCACCATCCTCCTCTCCTCTATCAGCTTCCAGGTATCTGTCGAGATCCATTCCTTGTCTTCTTTCTTCTTCCTTCCTAATACTGTTGTGCAGGTTTCTTTCCACATAGCTTTCAAAGACTTCCAGTGTTCTTCCACACAGGTTTCTTCAGGGATGTCCCTCGATGTCTCCCATTTTGTCTTGATGGCTGCTTTGAAGATCTCCTTTGTAGTTTCATCCTTCAGTTTCCGAGTGTTGTACTTGGGTTGAGGTCTATCACCAGCTTCCTTGAAGGCTTTTAACTTGATTTGGAAGGTTCCTTGCACTAGGTAGTGGTCTGAACCTACATCTGCTCCTCTTCTTGACCTTGTGTTAAGTAGACTGCGTCTCCATTTTCTTGAGATTGAGATAAAGTCGATTTGATTTTTAGTGTGTCCATCTGGTGAAATCCATGTCGCTTTGTGGATATCTTTGTGCCTGAACACACTGCCTCACAATCACCAAATCGTTGAATGCGCAGAATTCTGCAAACAGTTCTCCATTCTCATTCATTTCACCTAGTGCCTCTCGACCCATGGTTAGTTCTCTTCCCGTGTTGTCCCCTCCCAGTTTGGCATTCATGTCGCCCATCAGAATTTTGATATCGCCAACTGACGTCTTGTCCAGTGTTAATTGAAGTTGTCTGTAGAAATCCTCCTTTTTCTCTTGCTCTGCATTATTTGTAGGTGCATAACATTGTATGATTGTGACCTTCCTTCCTTTTGAGTTGAATCTTGCTGTCATGATCCCGATGCTGGAGGAGATTGGTTCCCACTGCATGAGAGCCTTCGATGCTCTTGAGGACATCATGATAGCCACTCCATAACTCAGTGTGCTCGTGGTTGGCGTCTGGGTGACAATATCGGAGTAGATTATTGATTCTCCAGTTGACAGTTTGGAGAGTCCACTTCCATTCCATCTGCTTTCGCAAATCCCAAGCACTTCGATGTGATACCTTCTCATCTCCTTTGCAATCTGGGCTGCCTTACTGGGTTCAAACATCGTACGGACATTCCATGTCCCCACGTTTACTTTCGCTTTCATCGAGAGAAGACACATCGGCCAATTGGCTTCCCGAAGGCTTTCACCAACTGGCGTCATTTCGCCTCTCCGATTCCAGCGGGGAATAAGTTTGTTTTCATTTTTTATATTTTGTTTGTGCTTTGAAGTTTCTTTAGCGGTTAGATTTGTTTTACGGGGTAGGGTTGCTAGCCCTATGCCCAACCTTCCCTCTTTACCCGGGCTTAGGACCGGCTAGTAACTAGTAAACTAGTTAACCAGGCGAGGCGAAGTGACAGAAAAATTCACGGTTAGTTTTTTTACCAGTCAGAACCAGAAGATCCAATTGTACAACAGCTTCTAATAATATGGAAATCACTAAGCTTGAAGTCTTTTGTCCTTGCCTACTGCTACATTTCTTTTAACCCTTAGTGAAATACACCAAGTGCATCTTATTTTCGGTGGTTTTATTAATTAAAAATATCACAAAAATTATTGCTCGTAGTAGTATCTGAAATGTGATTATGAACCCTGGAAATTCAATGTGAAGAAGACATTTTTATTTGAACTACAATAAATTTGTAGTTAAAGATGAGACTTCTAGTGATGTGATGTCCTTTCAGTAAAGAAACACTTTCCGAACAAACTACATGGAGAAGATGCTGATGAGTTCAGTTCAAACGGTTCAATAACTTTTAAATGACGACGCCGTTTAAAGAAAGCTGTTTAAATAATACCCTCTAACTGATAACTGATTTTACCAGTCTTTTTTCATTTATCAGTAGACCATTCATATCTACGTAGTTTTAAGTGAATCACTGAAAAATAAGGCAAACGTTTCCTTAGAGAGATTTTTTACTCTGTTTTACTATGAGTGGAGGTTTTTCTTTTTTTTCTTTGGTGTTAAGGGTGAATTAAATCGAACGATTGCATCGCATTCATTGAATCGTTTATCATCTCGTTCTCATGCTATATTTACAATATATCTGAAAATAATTGATCCAATGGACAGTAATGGATGCACCAGATGTAGTAAAATTCATTATGTGGATTTAGCTGGTTCAGAAAGATTGAAAGGAACACAAGTATGTTGAAACCACGTAGTATCGTTTTTACTTTCACTATTTAAGTGGTATCAAGGAAATTTCCGTGAAGTTTTGTATTAAACGCTTTTGGAAGGGTACTTTATACGTAATCCTTGAGAAAATTACTGAAAGCAGTTTGCGGCAGTGAATATATGGATGTTTCGAAACTTCCTGCAATCAGATCTCAGTGACAACACACACGACTTAAGTGTAGATTAATCCAGCTAATGGGTCCCGGATTACACAAAACTCACGTCTCAGATTACACTGTTAGCTGCCGACTAGTTAAAATTTACTGATTGGATTATCCAAGGGTAAACTAGATTGACAGGTGGGTTAAAGTACATAAGGATGTTGAGTGAATTTAAATATGAACATGAGTGGAAACAAGATTTGAACTATAAGCCAGCAGATCACCGAATAATAGCCCTACCAAGCTCTAAGATTCCAGTTGTTGATCAGTTTTATGTTTCACTTTAGTTAACAAGAATAACTTCTGGCTGTCACATCTGTGTATAATTATCTATTCACCATCTCAGATGGCATGAAAAACAGATCAATCTTTTTTCTTTTTAACTGATTTCAATTCAGATCGGATCGACAAAACTTTACTCATCACTTAGTAAGATGATGAAAATGTAGTTGTGTATCATTCACCCACACGACAACCTCGCCTGATTAACTAGTTCACTAGTTACTAGCCGGTCCTAAGCCCGGGTAAAGAGGGAAGGTTGGGCATAGGGCTAGCAACCGTACTCCGTAAAACAAATCCAACCGCTAAAGAAACTTCAAAGCACAAACAAAATGTAAAAAATGAAAAAATAAAATTATTCCTGGCTGGAATCAGAGAGGCGAAATGACGCCGGTTGGTGAAAGCCTTCGGGAATCCAGTTAGCTGATGTGTCTTCTCTCGATGAAAGCGAAAGTAAACGTGGGGACATGAAATGTCCCAACAATGTTTCAACCTACCAAGGCTGCACAGATTGCAAACGAGATGAGAAGGTATGGCATAGAAGTGCTTGGAACCTGCGGGGAATCACCAGACGAAATGGAAGTGGACTCTCTAAACTATCAACTGAAGAATCGTTAATCTACTCCGATATTGTTACCCAGACGACAACCACGAGGACACTGAGTGATGGAGTGGCTATCATGATGTGTCCCTCCCAAGAGCATCGAAGGCTTTCATGCAGTGGGAACCAGTCTCCTCCAGGATCATGACAGCAAAGTTCAACTCAAAAGGAAGGAAGGCCACAATCATACAGTGCTACGCCACGCACCTATAAATAATGCAGATGGAGAGAAGAAGGAGGAAGTCTACAGACAACTACAATTAACACTGGACAAGTTCACATCACAGTTGGCGACATCGAAATTCTAATGGGTGGGGTAACATGAATACCAAACTAGGAGCGGAAAACATGGGAGGACAACAAATCCTGGGTCGAGAAGCGCTCGGTGAGGTGATGAACGAGAATGGAGAATTGTTTGCAGAATTCTGTGCATTCAACGATTTGGTGATTGCAATGAGGCAGTGTGTTCAAGCACAAGGATATCCACAAAGTGACTTGGATTTCACCAGACACCAGGAAACACTAAAAATCAGATCGACTTTATCTTAATGTGAAGAAAGTGGAGACGCAGCCTACTTGATACAAGGTCAAGAAGAGGAGCAGATGTGGTTTCAGACCACTATCTGGTGCAAGGAACCTTCAAAATCAACCTGCAAGCCTTCAGGGAAGCTGGTGATAGACCACAGTACAAGTACAACACCAGGAAACTGAGGGACGAAACTACAAAGGGAATCTTCACGGCAGCCATCAAGACGAAATGGGAGATATCGAGGAACATCCCTGAAGAAACCTGTGTGGATGAGCACTGGAAGTCTTTGAAAGCTATGTGGAAAGAAACGTGCATAACCGTAGTAGGAAGGGAGAAGAAAGAAGATGAGGAATGGATCTCGATGAACACATGGAAGCTGATAGAGGAGAGGAGGATGGTGAAGCAGAAGATAAACCAGTGCAAGGATGCACAAGGAGAAGAGGAACTGAGTACAATGTATAAAACAGTGGACAAAGAAGTGAAGAAAAGTGCGCGGAAGGACAAAAGACTTCTGCAACAAATAGGCAAGTGAAGCAGAACAGACTGCTGGTAGGAGAGACAGAGACATGACAACACTATATCAAATAATCAGGTTACTATGTGGGAGTGGAGAGATCGATACAGATGAAACCAATGAAAGATAGTGAAGGAAAGCTAGTTATCAAATAGAAGAAACAAAGGAAACGATGGGCTGACCACTTCAAAAGCTCTTGAACCGACCACCACCTGCACTTCCAGTGAACATAAATCCTCGACCAATGTGGAAGTCCTGAACGCCATAAAGCTACTGAAGAGCGAATAAACAGCAGGACAAGATGGAATCCCACCAGAAGCACGGAGAACAGACGCAGAGACAACAGCGGACATGCTCACACCATTATTGCAGAAGGTGTGGTAAGGAGGGAAAGTACTTGCAGATTGGAAGAAGGCTTACCTTGTCAAACTCCCAAAGAAGGAAGACATTAGTGTTTGCAAGAACTGGTGCGGAATCACGCTCCTGTCCACTTCAAGCAAAATATTAGGCCGCATCATCCTGGAGAGACTAAAGGATGCACTGGATTCAAAACTACGACCACAACAGGCTGGCTGGATTCGAGAAGTACAAATCATGTGCGGACCGAATTGCAACGCTTCGCATCATCACAGAACACAGTATAGAATAACAGTCAACTCTACACCTCAACTTCACCAACTTTGAGAAGGCTTTTGACATCGTCAACCGAGAAGTCGTTTGGCAGGCAGTTGCTTCAACACTACGGAATACCACAAACCTTTATCAATCTCATTCAACAACTGTATGAAGTCGCCATACGCCAAGTAATTCACAATGGGGAGCTCAGTGATGCTTTTGAAGTGAAGACAGGAGTGAAACAAGACAAAGCTGTCTACTACCACCCATGATATTCCTGATTGTAGTGGACTGGATCATGCAACAAACAGTGAGGAGCTGTGAGAAGAATAGGATACGCTGGACCGTAGAAAAGAACCTAGGAGATTTAGATTTCGCCGATGACTTATGTCTAATATCACACAAACTTGGAGATCTACAGGCGAAAACTAACAAGTTGGCAGAAGAGGCGAGGCAGCGAAGACGGGACTTCAAGTGAACGTAGAGAAGACTGAGGTGATGAAGACACCCAACCAACGCCATCTACAACAACAAGCTCTAATCACCATCAACGGGAGAAACTTAAAGGAAGTAGCCTCTTTCACCTATCTAAGAAGCACTGTTTCAAATACAGGTGGCAGCACAGACGAGGATGTTAAAGTCGGTATCGGAAAGACAGCAAGACAGGCATTCATTTACCTGAAATCAGTGTGGAGATCTGTACTCCACTCAACATGTGGAACAAGATGCGGATTTTCAACACCAACGTCAAGTCAGTGCTCCTGTATGGTTCAGAGACTTGGCGCGTCACGAAAGGAATTTCCAACAAACTACAGACATTCATCAACAACTGCCTACACTGGCTCGTTACTGAAGATCAGATGGATTGCCAGAAATAATAAGCAACAAAGAACTCTGGGAACGAACCAACCAAGAACCTATCGCTCAACAAATATGCATTTGAAGGAAGTGGAGATGGATTGGGCATACACCGAGAAGGCAGACTGGGGACATCACACATCAGGCCGGGTACTTGAGTGGAACCTCGATGGGAAGCGACGAGTTGGGCATCCGAGGCGAGGATGACATGGAGGAGATCGTGTGAGGAGGAAATGAGAGCTTGTGGGCTATCGTGGAACCAGGTTCAAAAGATTTCAGAGAACAGAGCGCATTGGGGACATGCTACTGAAGCTTTATGTTCCATTAGGAACCCAAGGTTCAATTAATAATAAAATAAATAGAAGTTAAAATTGAGTGGTTAAAACACTCAAATGACAAGCATAACGAATAATATGCACTAGTCTTCAGAGTATTGTCACTTTATGAAGTTTTTCGAGGAAGCGAAGTTCTTTAGACAATCCCAATAAAATGACAATCTACTAATAATCACTCCAACCCTAATAAGATGTTAAGCAGTTAAAAAACAATAAAACGAATAAGTTAACAAACTCCACAATAATAATGACAAAACCGTTTACTTTACGCTAATTGAAAGTGCTGAATTCTTCTGAATTTCTTCAAACAAATGAGCAATACCTCGCGGTATAATTCCTCTATCAACATATAGCTGCGATAGACCACTCATTGTATATGTTTTCCCAGCTCCAGTTTGTCCGTAGCACATTATAGTGCCTAAGATGAAGTTGTAAAAGTACAAATTACTTTATGCTGCACAATTCTTCATGATATACAAATGATTGAAACAGTTTGTGATGTAAAAAAAGTATCGCGTATTTGGATAACTTGTCACAATGTGAATGAGAAAAGAAGCAATAGATAGCCAAATCAGCATAGAACTTCGCACAGAAATGCATCGATTCACGTTGTCACACTCCACATCAGCATACAAAGAGGAAGTGGGCAGAAAAAGATTAACACTAAAGTAGAAAAAGTCTATGGGAAAGAAGAGCAGAAATAAATGAAAGCTACTGAAAGTATTCCAGACTTCGAATATGTCAAAGAGTGACTACACCTGTGCCGCTCTGGATGATGTCAGTAAGAGACTCCTAACATCGATTGTCATTATATCGAGCGCCTCTACTAGACAGTTTCTGCCTCACTGCATGACTAACATCAACCGTTCACCTTTTTATTGACTGGTGACACGTCTTGATTCGGTCACTCTGAGCTTTCTCCCAACCTAATCCTACTACTGACAGCACTGTATCAGAAGTAGTTAGTGGCTCATCATGTGAAACAGGTGTCCAAGCCACCTTCGTAGGTGAATGTTTATAACCTCATTAACTGACTTGCCTTCCTTGCTTAGTGCCCTTCACCTAACATCAATATTGCTCACAATTGGATTTCACTATTCATGAGCGATTCTGTGAAGAGACCTGTAGTGGTAGGTAGATGTCTCGTAGATGTAAGTTGGCAAATGTTAAACCAACCTTTCCAATCCAAGCTAAGATTTTGTCAAAAACCAACCGATTAGTGTTGATGCAGCCTCATAAGCAAACTAAGCCATCGACGTTCACTTCTGTGTGAATTATTCGGTGAACATTTCCTGGAGTAAATATGTGTGAGAAACGTAACAATGTTTGCTTCCGCTTAGGATATAGGAGTATAGGGACAAGAATAATCACCCTTATCGCTGTTCAGTTCAAAACATGCACACATATTTACTAATTGCGCGAATATATAATATGATGTAAAGTCTGAATTTGTCGATTTCAGCTACTTTCTTTCACAGTAAGATGATGATAAAAATGTAAAGTTTGTATCCGATTTCTTCATCAGATATCTTTACATGTTATTAACATGATAAATTGATTACAATCAAGTGTTTTCAGTTTTTTATCTTCTGAGTATTTTTCGAGGACAATCTGTAGTTTAAAAAAAGACTAAGTTTTGAACGTTTTTAATAATTAACGCGATAAATTAAAACAAATACGTAATTTGGTTTGAAGCTGATGGAGATTTCATTTTTAAGGTAGTATTCATCACGAAATGATATCAGTTGAAGAAACAATGAAAACCAGGAGCACTGGATAGCTGTTATGTCCTAGTCTGGGACCACCCAGCAGTGTATGCAAACAATCGCACTAGGATTCGACTTCAGAATTTTCAGGCCTTGTACCGAGTGTACTAACTACTCAACCACTATGTTGGAATTCAGTGGTCCACAGTTCCCTACCTACTTTAAAAATGAAACCTCTATAAACTTCAAACTACATTGTTGCATAGTGGTCACTAGTGACATGCTTCGAGATGAATATTCCGAAGTTCTAATAAGAAGCCCTTACCTATATGGTTGACGAACCATAAGTGAAGCGGATGCCAACCGAAAACCTTAGTGGATAGTCGCGCTATACCACGAATTGACGGCAGCAGGAAAAAGCAAACCATTGAGATCTGATCCGGTGTCTGAGCCGCTCTTGCGTTCGTCGCGAGACCTTCAAGTCCCGAGTTTGACCCGTAGCGAGGTTGTGGGTGCGTGTTGCTAGTTAGTCCCATACTAGGACGAGACAGCTGTTCGGTGCTGTCAGGTTCCCAGTACTTCTCCAATTGATGTCAGTTCGTGATGAGAACTACCTAAAAAAAGTATTTAAATAGCAATTTTGAAGTGTGTAATGAATTGTTGGGTTTTTGTATTTTTATCAAGACAACTGACAAACTTTTCAAAGAAGCTACATACATTAATCGATCTTTAGCATTTCTGGAACAAACTATCCTAGCCTTATCCGATCCATCTAGAAACTATATTCCTTACCGGCAATCGAAACTGACACATTTCTTGAAAAATAGCATTGGAGGTCGTTGTCAAACTATCTTAATAGCAAATGTATGGAATAAATGTGAATATGTCAATGAAACTGTAAGTTGGTAATTCTCTGTTTGACAATTTATAGTCACCTGTGTTTATATGTCCAACAGATATTTTGACTTTATTTCTAACATTTATCCGTTAAATTCGTGGATATAAATAGAACATTAGCTTTTTCAAGGTCAGTCCAAGTAATGTTTTTGCTAAATTGTATCTCAAGTGGTATTGAACTGGGTTTCGAGTTCAAATGTCATCAGTCCTTTTTGATTCGATATGTATTTTCTGCACAGACGAACAAAGAATGAGAGATTTTCATTTTAGCAGTTTGGATTAGATCTGTTTTGATAAAATATTATAACAACTGACTATCGGTTTGAATAGACTTCGTCTAATATCTTTAAATTTTTGTGTATAGAAACATGAAATGAAATTCATTTGACAGAAATCAAGAACTCTTACAACGAACTTGTGAAATAATCGGTTTAAAATAAGTGGAAACAGGAGTTGGTGGAATTATATCGAGAAAAAGGCACTTTGTTATTACCAGTTAATTGGACTTCTCTCAATATACGATAAAACTTAACTATTTGATTACCAAAATTGTCATCATGTGTGTGCCTATATGTTAAGGCAGCTTTCATGGCTATTGTCAGTTGTACAGTCGGTTTAAATCAAGGAGAACTAGACAACTAAGTACATTGTTATTTAAACACTGAGTTGAGATAAAAATCGTCTTTTAATTCAGAATACAGTGCAGACATCATTCAGTTTCACTAGTTGACATCTGCTCTCCTTCATGACTTCGGTAACTCAACTGGTCACTGATTATCATCAAAGGGTCTAGACATCAAGACAGAACCACTATCTGACAAGCTGTGATGAAATTCGAAAATTGTAACTTCTTTTTTGCAAATTGCTAAAATTTAAACAGCAGATATAATATCACCACAACTCAGTAAGTAAATGTCCCAGGCTTAACTTGATAGGTGAACAATCACAAGAGTTCAAAATCAGCCAAAAAACTAGTTCCTAATGGTTTTCCAGTTGAGGTCAGTTTCTTAAGTAAAAATATCTTTCAGTTGTGAAGGTTTATCTTCGATGATTTCTTAGGTAAATAGTTACCAATACGGGCGAAAATAAACTTACAAAGATATTTTTATCGTTCACTAAAATAACTATCAGAAATAGTATTGGCTGATAGGCTAATTTATCAAACATTGGGTGATCAACAAAATTTGACAGTAAGTTTATATCACTGTGGCTTCTGAACATCACTCTGTGTATGACTGGTTTGTTCTCCTATCATAAAAACTATGGCACTGTCATATTAGTGAAAGTTGAATGTCACTTACACCAGGCGAATTGTTGTTTGGTTTTTTATTTGGTGAGCAACACTCCTGTAGATCTACCTCATTGCGTTAATTACTTAGATAGCTCATTTTGATACAGTCCAAATGCCATTATCATTGAACTGACAACTCAAGGTTTCCCTTTAAATTTCTTTTCTAATTAGTGTTTTCTGTAAGCTTCATTTTTTATTCCTGTGTGTGCTTTCATTTTTCTAAAATAAACATAGAACATAGTCAATCAAAATATTTAAAGTTAATGTTTACTGACAGCAGTATACAGTTCGAACAATTTTTGTGTTTATCTTCATATTTTAGTTATCAACCCTAAGATTTGCAAGTCGAGCGATGTCAGTACCTTGTAAACCTGCTATCAATCAAACACGTGATCCTATGGTATGGTAATTCTATTTTGAAGCAGTTAGTTAACTCATTATTATTTTCTTGTTGTAGTTATCAAAACATTTTTTCCCTCTCTTTTCCTATTCCTGTTACTGTTTTGCCAGTTCAATAAACTTCAAAAGCCAGTCAGTCAAATGCATATACGTTACCGAAGTTCATGTATACTCGAGAATTTATAAAGTCCCAATAAGTCATAAAATGACAGCTTAAAATAGGGTAGAATGAAGTTCAGGGTTGTAGCTTCAGGAATGCAGTATGATATTAACAGCATACTGTGGATTTGCCGTCCAACAAAACTCAGGACTTCATTTCAACTGCAAAATGCACTTCGTTACATAAAGGTTATTATGCAACTTTTACGATTACCTCAAATAGTATCATCAACAGTATCTATGTAACATAAAGGCTATGGTTATTTCCTAGATTTTTGAGCCTTTCAAATTTTTCTTAGACCATTGAGGTTTGCATAATTTTAGTATCAATTATTTGTGTTTCCCGAATCTGTTAGTTCATTATGAAATGAGTGGTCACTGAATAGTAAACAATTTCATATTATCTAGTCCGTAGTTCTGACCAAATTCGATTGAGCATAGTTTTGTATTATGGCCACTACCATGATACACTTCGATTAATGTTAGGTAATTAAAGGCAGTCAAGATAAATCTCTGAAACTAGGCTTCCCGTTTGTTGGCAGTCGTCAGTAAAGAGTACCTACAACTCCTAGGGAAGTGAACACAGCCAACGTATCCAATTCAGTTCTGAAGGAAGTCAACCTTAACGCGTATGGCTGCAGCGATGGGTAACGATGGCTAGAATCTCTGAAAAGGCATCAATTTCGTTGAGATCTTTGATTCACCTTGCAAACTAGTGCCAACAAACATGAAACTTATGTCCAGGGCTTATTGTAGAATATCACCAATCACCTGAGATTGCTGTCTTACAGGTACACAAGTTGTTTTTGAATACACATATATACTACTATCAACAATTAGGTAGTACAAATAGCAATTGTAAGGTAGGTTGTGAATTGTGAATTGAAAGTGATCCCCGAATTTGATTTGTTTATTATGAGACATTCAGAGGTAGAAGTCTCTCTTAAACCTTTATAGCCACTGTCAATTAAGATTTGCTGATTGTTTAAAGGTAAATATTAAGAGTGTTAATGAAGACTAGCAAATGGTGAAAGGTCGTGTACGTGGTATAGATAAGACAGCTGACTTAAATTCAGGCCTTGTTCATTTCGTAGACATTGTGCGAAACAGAACTATGATGAGTTTTTACTAGAATCTTAGGTTTCCCTCCCTTGAATGTGTGATGATTTATGCCTCATGTTAGGATGAAATTCAGATAAAGTGACAATGTTGATGAAAGCAGAAAAGTTAAAAGCAACGCATTTACTGACGAGTCTTTACTTATTTATACGTATCTCTGATTAAAAATGATGACACCCATGTTGAAAAGCTTTTTGAATTTCACATGAGTAGATAAACTATTAGGTTCATTAGTTGCCCCAAATTAATAAAATTTTCATTCAATATCAAAAAGCTTGTTACACAAAGTGTTGTAACTTATTCCACTGTTTAGAATCTAATTTTAACGTAAGAACAACACTTTCTTCTCAGATTTATTCAATTATAGTTGTACAGTTGCACCAGAGTATTTCCGCAAAACCTATGGAAAACAACAATGAATAACTCATTTAAAACTGCCTTTAAAGACTTATAATCTCGAATCTTAAAACCTGTATCCACCTCATTATTAGTACTATTCTGAAAATAATGAATTACTTGATTAAAATCATTTAGGTTAGTGTTGAGAAAATAATTAACAAGTAAATGATACACCGACTCAAAATTATGCATCCTATAAAAGTGAGTGTTGAAAGTTGCTGATATAAACATTATGAAAGGTACAGACAGGAAAAAACAACAAATAAAGGAACTGTATACATATGCACGATCCATCGGATAATTATCCAACTTGCAAGTGTTTTACTGACAGTTTGCAGAACTTGCATGACTACATTCAGATAGCCTAAAATTCTTAACGGAGTTCTGATTGATATTTATTCACTACACGGTTATGTAATATATTTTATTCTAGCTGGTTGCATAACTCAAACTTTATCTTTGACGTCTTTCCACCATAAAGACTGTCAGATTTTTTCTGCATAAACGATCTTCAGTAAGTTATCCTTTGCTTCAAGCTATATGCTTTTCTGTCACATTATTCAAACAATTAAGTCTAAATTGTGGTGAATCTTTTGAAATCTATTAATTCCATATTTAAAGACAAGTTGCTGCTCACTAAAAATGAATATTATGCATACAAAATAAGGAATTTTAGTTTCACGAAAACAAGATATTGTTTAGCACATTAGATTTTATCCAGTATGGCAAACCTAGTAGTACCGAACATTAAATATTATTAACAGGTGTATTAAGAAACTGATTATATTTTAGAAGCATTATGAGTAGCCTGAGAATATCACTGTAATCAAAATAGGGAGTTACTACGTGGTGTAGCACAAGAATTGAGTAACAAAAACTAAGCAAAGAAACTTGGATTTAGCTGAAAAAAAAAGTCTTTAAGTTTTCGTTGATAAGTTTTATTTATGTGCAGTTTGTATTCTGAATTTGAAAGGCAATAATCAAGAATTTGGAAAAATTCAATGGTGACCTACTTCGAGAACTTCTAATGTACGATACATTGGTAAGTTTATCTATTTGGATAGTAAGAAGTATTTTATGTAGTAGGAGGATCAGTAGGTTGATATTAAAATTGAACACTCCCTATTTGTCACCAAGTAAAACTGGCTTCTGAAACCTCACACTAGCCTAGATTTATTCGGCTAACTCACAAAAAGTAGTTGATAACTTCTTGTATTAGGTAAACAGTAGATATTTTGCAAATTTATCCAGAAAATCTGGAACAACTAGTCCCCTTTAGAAATTTAACTGAAACAATAAGAAGATGTAGTTCATCTGAAACGTGTGGTATTTTAGCGCAATATATTTTAGACCATCTGATCACACACTTATCACGCATATCAGTATGAAACACAACAAAGAATAAATGGGCTTAAACAAGTGATCGACAGCATACTGGGTCAAATTATTAGTTTAGACAAGAAGAGAAGGATAGAACATTATAGCTCAGTTACTAAGGAAGGTTTAGTGTAACAATAAATTGTTTTTAATATATTAAAGTTTTGAACTTCCTTATGTCTAGAGCTTCAACCAAACTAATCATATGTCCTCAAGTGGTTTTGTAAATAGGTTTAGAAGATGCATACAAACCAATGTTGTGACATGTTTTACTGATAATTTTATCTATGGATAAAGTTGGACATGTATTGGCTTGGGTTAGTAGAATCGGTTAATTTGGTTTCTGCTGTAGCCATTTTGGAATGTGCTCTGTGGCCATCAGTTGGATTGATCGGTGGGTTCTCTATATGTATCACCACATGTACATCTGAACTGATAAATAAGACTGGCTGTGACCCTGTCATTCAAATTCTGAGATGGTCTACAGGAATACATACTTTCGTTATCCACCTTAATGCTGACCTTCACTGCATAATATGTTCTCCAGATGGCTGCCTGAAGTCTTCATTTAGTTATTGGGCTCAGTGAGTCACACACATAATTTAGCTTAATTGAGATATTTTTCTTTGGAGCTGGCTGAATAATGAATCTCCGCTATCGGGTATTTCTATTATGGTTAACCTACTTTAGGGATGATTACTGTATAATAATAATTTAATGAGTTTTTATACTTCCTCCTCTAAAGTGTCATTTTTGCATATTCTTTGAATCTAGTTAAACAGACACTTGAATAGTGCCCGTTTATACTGAAGTGGACAGAATCTATAATAATTTAAGTAGTATCATGTTCATGTAAATTTCTTATAGATAAATGATTTCATTAGTGCATCTTGCTGGAGAGTTAAGAGTACATTTAAGAATGGTAGGACAGAATCTATAATAATTTAAGTAGTATCATGTTCATGTAAATTTCTTATAGATAAATGATTTCATTAGTGCATCTTGCTGGAGAGTTAAGAGTACATTTAAGAATGGTAGGCAATTACTCTGAACTTTATTCATTCGACTATGAAGCGACATAGCATCTTCTGGCTTCTTATATGTGATTCGATTGTCGTCCACAGATTATTTTTAGAAAACAACTTTTGTTTTGAGATGTGAATCAGAAGTCTAAGGCAACTCAGCACTGCAAACATGATTATTAAATCAGTGTGATTATATCTTCGGTGAAATTATTGGTAAGTACATGGACACTTCTGGTTTATTATACAGGTTAGGTAACAGTTCTGAAAAGTGATATACACTGTTAGTTACCCGTAAAACACCCTCTAAATGAATAATAGTAAACTTTTTTCTGTATTATAGATAAAGTTTCGTAGCAGGAATCAGAATGACATCTCCTAGTAAAGAGATTATGTAATAAGTCCTTTTGAACCAATCAATACTCCTGGTTGAGCAAATATGGTAACAGCTGTGTTAAGTAATGTCACTGCTTTTAACGAAAACACTACGATGGAGGAGTTGAAAGTTATTCAAATAGTTGAAACTGTAATGAAATTAGTCATTACATAATTATCAAAATAATGGTGGTATCTAAAGCCTTCAGCGATGCAATTTTCCCCCGTTTGTTACAAATCTCTTTGAGATTATGATTTGCATCACAGTTACTTATGAGTTCCAAAACTGTCAGGTTCATGTCTATAGGGGCTTCTCATCAACTACTTTCGAGACATCCACCACATTCCTTGTTCCTTAGCAACATTTCAAGTGGTACTTGGATTATCTCTAGTTGTAATCTCATTTCATTTCGTTCAAAGTTATGTATTTTGTTTCTTTTTTCTTTCGAGAAACAAACTCATCTTAACTTTAGAAAGGGTTTTGTAAGTTTTAAAAATTTCCTATCACCTCGTTTCCCACCAGTATATGCATGTACCCATGTGGGTATTTCTGTGTGTGTGTGTATGTGTGTGTGTGTGTGTGTTTATCAGCTACGTCGTTAAAGCATGTTAAACTACAGTTTTATTCATGAATGTTCTAGTGCATTTTTATATAGATCTATATGTGCTTATGTTTACTTTTATCTGTCTGATTTACTTTGCACAGTCTTAGCAAAAACTTTAAACAGACAAAATTAAAAAATGAGAAATAAATTACAAAATACTTTATCTCTATCAAATCACTTAATTACGTCATAGTAACTTGAAAGTATAATTATCTAGTGCAAAAGTCTAATCATTTAATTAATAATTACCTGAATATACAGCTTTTCCACGAGTAACAGATGTTATAATTTACTCTATTTTACAACTAATGTAATTGTTGGTGACAAAAATGTATATGACTAAAGATTGTCTTGATGTTAAGATAACAGCGGAAAAAAATATCTACTTGAAACGATACCGATCAGAAGAAAAGAATTTTTTAAAATCATCGAATGACTGTAAAGACCACCCCAGAAACTACTAACATATCCAATTAGGTTTCTTCAGTTCAACTAAAAAGTTAGTTGTGTCGCAAGATAAGGAACGTAATTGACTCTCTCACTGGTTGTTAGGATGGGTTTTAGAGTCAAATCCTCACTGTAGTCGTACAGTTTAATAATATTTGTAAGAGGCACGATGAGTTGGAGTCATGAGCAAAGGTTAATTATTTATCTATCGAAAAATAGTTAAAACGGAAAAGACTTCATTCGGGAAATGAATTAAGAGGCCTTTTACAGAGTAAAGGCCTTGAAATGGGAATGTTGGACATAAAAGTAGGATTGTAATAAAGAAACTGAAGAAAAAAGAATTATACGACAACTTAGACCGTTCTACAACCAACGGGAATAGAAACAATTAACCAAGCACCTGTGTGCACAAAGCTCAGAATTCGCTTGTGGTTGTAGAGCGAAATTTATGTTTCATAGTACATGACCTAATATGGCTTGAAAAAGGCAGTTAGTATTTTCAAAATTCGTAAATGAGTCCTCATTCACAAGGTACTATTGAACAGTAAGTGCGTGGTATACAGTATTCTCCATTTCTGGCCCCGTGAAGCTGAATTAATAATAATAATAATAATACCCTTATTCCAAACAAGACATGACGCAATAAAGAATTCTCAGCATATTCATTCCCTTTACAATATTTTTAAACGAAATGATCATTGCACTTGAATAACGTTAATAATTATAGTAATAAAAGCTGCTATGTGAAACAGGCACCCGATATTTCATTAGCGTCAGGTTTAGACTGGTGTATGAATGGAATATCTAGCGTAATTTTTAGTGGTGACTGAGCCAGTACCAAAATTTGCAACTCGACGTAGTAATCCAAAGAACAAGAATATTAATATACTCTGTTTCCGTGCATTTATAAGCCCATCTCTTACCTGGGTATTGTCTATTCTGTGTTTTGCTGTTAACTTTGAAGACAGCAGTTTGAAACCATTTTAAAAGTATATATGTGTCCTTGACGCGTTTGAAGACATATTTCCACGATTCAGAAAAATCGAAAGGGAAAAATTTGATGAAATAAATTCAGTGTTTCGTAGCTTGGAGTTTAAGCAGGCCACCTACTTATGCGAATCGTAGTGACACCTCCCCAGCCCCCCTTCCCACGAAAATATCTTCAATGTGTACCGCCATAAGAGTGGTTAGCATGATACTTTTTGCTATGAAAATCTTAAAAGTTTTGCAATCTAATCTGTCTTTTTTTAATCCGCGTTTTTATGTATAACTAAAAATGCTACTTAGAATAACCGCGGACAAATAAGTTACGAACCTTTGACAGAAAAACAAAGACATAAGATACGAAATTCTGTTTTAAAATATTTGAACAATGAAGTGAAAGATTTAGAGGTAAGATATCAAAAAGATTCTTTTCGTAACTTTCTGTTTATTTTGTTGTATTCATGATATTGGAGATATTATTTCATATAATTTATTGTGACAACTTTGTTTGTTATGCAGTATGCATCAGGTTTTCTCAAATGATTATGGTTCCAAGAACATTTGACTAGAAAATTACCTGAGAGTAGGTTTCTAAAGTTGTAAAAGTGTCTCTTGTATATTGATAAACGTGTGTTAGAAGTAGTCATAATGCTGATCAAATAGTTCTCCCAATTGTTGGAAGGTGAATGGAAACGCGTGTAATCAGACTATTGAAAGTTTCGGATATTGTTGTGTTTGTGTACTAAGTATACGACGAATCGAATGCATTCATGACAGTTTTCTACTGAATGGCTTAACCTTTTTTTAGCTATGACCATAAAATATTGGTCGGGGTTGCATATCATAATGACCTGACGAATTATGCTGGTTGAATCCTTGACCCTTCGAGTTCCCATTACACCGGAAGGGTCAATTGGATAGTGGTTAGACAAAGCAGTTACAGTTATGATGTAGATTACTACGCTATTATGGAGAACTGGGAGCTAAGTCGTAAAACTGATTGAAAAAGGCTTGACAGCAGTAAAGTGTTTCCTGCGGATGAACAGCAGTATTATGCCCATGCTGCCTTTCCAGTGGGAAAGGAGGGTATACACTAGGCTGACCCGAAAACGGCACACTCCCTGCCCTGCGGTATTCCGGTACAGACAGCATAGGTTTCCCAGCTGGATTAAAAACAAACAAATTAAAATCCCAAATTCTCGAAAAGGTTGTGTGCAAAGGGCTTCAAATAGTTGTTCTTTAGGGTATGCGATCACGCATCACTATAACAAATACAAATTCTATTTCAGACACTTCAAAGAGAGTAACCTTCTACAGTATGGGGAACAAGGAAGTGTTAACCGCCTTCATAACCCTTTTAATACTCTAGCTCCATGAGATCACAGTCAACCTTCAACATTTTTGCCTTCTAATCTTAGCGCATGTCTCTCGGTCGGTATACTTACAATATCTTCAATTTTCCTCAGCTCTGCAGCAGCCGATAGGGATTCGAGCCCACGGAAAAAAGTAATGTTCTCCTGAAACTATTTTCTGAACTGCACACTGGAACTTTCAGTGTCCGCACTCTCCGTTAAATCTGTCAACAAGCTTCGCTAGTCAGAACTCTGGCATCTCGGGTCATGAATGAGTTCTGTGTTTATGAGACATGCATATAGCATCCAACTGTGGTTACTCGCTAAACCTCAACAAATCACTGTTGGTAATATGCCAAATTCATCATTTGAGTTTCTACAGATTCG